AAAAAAGAAACAGCCGTTCCAGAGTTCAAGTGAATTGACAAAAAAATTTTTCAAAACCTTTTAAAACCTTGCAGTTCTTGTATGTTTTAACAGATGACAGCATGACCTGACATAAACTTAGAAATACGAGCATCAAAAGGACCTTAACAGTTCATATACAACTTCAACTTGATCACTGAGAGGTCGGCATACGCGGCGTTACCGAACAAATTCACCTGTTGGGCATCGTCTGTAGCTTTCATTTATCGTGTATATTCTTCATTGCTTTTCAAACTATATACGACACCTCTCCTTTTTAAAATTTAGTACAGAATTATAGTGCGCACTTCCTTTTGGAATAGTTTCTTTATTTCTGCGCTATTCATTTATAGTTTTGTCGACATGGTGCGTCCGTGACAGCACCTTCTCGCAAGGACATTACAGATTCTGCGATTGCGCATCATATTCTTTTGCCCTATTTTGGACATTATGTATAGTGATCCTTGCTTAGGTATCGACAATGATTGCATATTTAAACGCACGCGTTTGCAAGCTTTTTGTAAGCATACTTCACACTGTGTTTCCGGTGTTCTATCAAAGCCCTATACTGGGAAGAGTTTGGGATAAGAGTTAATGGAGAGTATCTTAGTAACTGGCGATTTACTGATGACATTGCCTTGATGAGAAACTCGGGGGATGAATTAGAGCTCATGATTACTGAACTGGACACAGAAAGCAGAAGAGTAGGTCTAAAAATTATTATGCACAAAACTAAAATAATGTGCGAAAGTCTAGGCGGAAAACAGCACTTCGCGATAGGGGGAGAGGCGCTGGAAGTTGTAAAGGGCAGATAGTAACAGAGGAACCGAACCATGAGAGTAAAATAACTAAATGAATAAGGATGGGGTGGATTACATTCGGCAAGCATTCTCAAACCATGAATGGTAATCTGCCACTAACACTCCAGAGGAAGGTATATAACAGCTCCATCTTGCCGGTACTTACCTACGGAGCAGAAACCTGGAGGCTTACAAAGTGGGTTCGGCTTAAACTGAAAACAACGCAGCGAGCGATGGAAAGAAAAATGACAGGTGTAATTTTAAGAGAGATGAAGAGAGCAGAGTTGGTCAGGGAACAAACCGGGGTTAAGGAGTTCATTGTTGAAATCAAGAAGAAGAAATGGACATGGGCCGGGCACGTAGTACGTAGGCAGGATAACCGCTGGTCATTAAGAGTTACTGACCGGATACTCAGAGAAGGCGAACGCACGAAGGGGAGAGAGAAAGTTAGGTGGGCCGATGAGATTAAAAAGTTCGCAGGTATAACGTGGCAGCAGAAAGCAAAAGACCTGGTTGATTGGCGAATCATGGGAGAGGCCTTTGCCCTGCAGGGGGCGTAGTCAGGCTGATGATGACGTTTCACCCGTATTTGAAATGTACTTTACCAGCGCTGTGTATGTGTCTTCTTCTCTGTACCGTCCTCGATGCGCTATACCTCAGAAGTTTACCATTCTTGTTTTTTTTTCCTGGACGTAGCATAAGTGCAACATGATTAAAATTTTTGTATAAAAATCTGCGATGAAGTAGTTGTCCTCGGTCTGGTTATATTGTGGGCTTCATTGCTCTTCTTGAGGTAGGAACTGAGTTAGTTTCAAAGCTGATGTGATAATCGTAATATTATCGGGTCCTTGAACCGTAAAAAAAAACTGACATCAGAATTGCAAAACATTGATGACACTTATTCCTGGAAAGACTGTTCGGGCATGCCAACTTATTCTTTTATGAAAAAACACATCTTTTTTTTCTTTTTGATCGTAACTGATTTGCAGTATCGAATAGCAATCGGCACTTATAACGAATCTGTCATTCATGTACTTAAGTGTTTGAAAAATTCAAACAGGAGGCCGCGCTGCTACGTGAGCCCCCCCTCCACCCCCGCCCCCCATTGGTAACAAAATTCCTGGCTACGCCACCGTTAGCCATCATTACCATAGCAGGAAGGTACTCGGAGGATTTACAGCTGAACGGTTGTGCGACTGCGATCTCCGACGCCAGCGTAACTCTCACTGACTGGTTCGCCTTCCGCCATCTGACGCCGTGCAGCTCTCGCCGTTTGGTGCTCCGTCCTCGGAGTTCTTCGACCGGCTCCCATCTTTCCTATCTCCTTCTTTCTGCCGCTTGCCTTGTCATATTTCTTTATATCCTTCCGCTATTCTTTTATATTCCATCTCCTATTTCCCTACAAGGCGCTGAGCCGTGCTTTCGCAAGGGCTGCAGAAAACAGAAAATAGTGCCTTCTTTCTTTTTTCAACAAACCACGTATTTATTTCCCATGGTCGCTGAACGATCGCAACATCAGAGTCCCCTCTATAGTTAGTTTTATGAAACTCTGTGACCTTACCAATGCCACCCATGTGGCGTTGCTCCTACTTGGCACCACAGCGGAACGTGGCCTCTGCAATCAGCTCCAACAGCATTTCAGGAGCTGATTTCTGAGGCCACGAGGGGTTTGACTCGGTGACGAAGCAGTTAAGTGCTTTTTCTTTTACGTTGTGCTTGCGTGTGCAGCTTCCATATGCAACAATGGTGCTTCTCCGCCGTCTAACGATACAAGTGCGACGACACCAACTACAAGAACTGCTGCATTGAGCGCCGCCGAAAGACAACGGCGTCGAAAAGCGAATGCCGCGAAAATGAGCTCAGCTCGGTGCAGTGAGGGACACACAGAAGGGAGTTGTAGGCCTTCACGCGTTCGCGGCTGAAGCTGAATACTCTGCCACTCGTGTTTACGACGCTGTGTGGGTTACGACCTTACTTTACTGGCTGCATTATATATGCACCGAAACAGGACCGAAATTATCACACCTTCACCAAAGCGACCCACCAGCAGGACGCTACTCGCCAACGCGACACCACGCGCCAAGCGCCTTCACTGGATAGTCGTCGCCACGCAAATCATGCACCCTTCGCTGCATTGGACCGTGTGTTCACAAAACGATTTAGTCAAAACCTGGTCGATTTTGCTTGCACGATTTGAGAACGCGGTTCATATGTGGTTCATATGGGATTTTTGCTATGCTACGATGTGTGCAGTGCATGCAGTGTCTCGTGGATCTCTGTAGCGAGTCGTTGCTTGTCGTGATGCAGAAGAAATGTCACAAGGTGTCAACGTGGGTGCGTCAACGTCTGAGGGAACTGTAGTTTTTAAAAAGCAATAGACGTTATATGGGTGTGCAATAAACATTCACCTACTTTTCTGAAGACACGTTCCACTTTGTCTGCCGCGGTGGAGCTGGCCTGAAGGTCGCGGGTTCGATCCCGGCTGCGACTGTCGCATTTAGTTGTAGGCAAAATGGTATATGCCTGTATAATATGCGATGTCAGTGAATGTTCAAGGACGCCACATGGTGAAAATTCCCGGAGTCCTTCAGTACGGCGTCTCTCATAATCCTATCTTTGTTATGGGACGTTAAACCCTACATATTAAATTTCTATTACTTTTAATTTTGGTGTGTTCAACTGATTCTTACATCAATTGTTTTTGAATGATCATCAGATCATCAGATTTTTTATTCACATTTTTTTCAAGGCTTCCCAAATATTCTTTCTCTTTTTCTTGTAGAAGGTGCTACGTGAGTGACCCTTTTGCAAGGACTGCATTGTTGTCTGTAGTATGCTATAAAGTAAAATGCTGCAAAACCACGTAAGATGTTTTTCATCATCATCATCATCGTCGTCGTCGTCATCATCATCATCATCATCAACATATTCATCATCATCCTGACTTCGCCCACTGCAGGGTAAAGGCCTTTCCCATGTTCCTTCAATCATCCCGGACCTGTGCTTTCGGCTGCCCCGTTACACCTGCAAACTTCTTAATCCCGTCATTCCACCTAATTTTCTGTCTCCCTGTCCCATGTTTACCTTTTTTTGAAATCTGGTCAGTTACCCTTATGACTAGCGCTTATCATGCCACGCGTTACGTGCCTGGCCCATGTTCATTTCTTCCTAAAAAGGAAGATACCTGTACTCAACCCCGGAGCCGAGACCTGGAGGCTTACAAAGAGAGTTCAACTCAAATTGAGGATGACGCAGAGAGTGATGGAAAGAGAAATGACAGGTGTAACCTTAAGAGACCAGAAGATAGAAGAGGGGGTTAGGAAATAAACGTGATTAAGCATATTATAATTTAAAAAGAAGAAGAGGTCTTTAGAATGTTTAAATACTAATTCTACAAAAAAAACATCCGGTATACCGTTTCTTAGGAAAATCACTGCTTTTAGATACGGATATCACTGCAACTATGCGCACACCACGTCACAACTTTCAACTGCAATTGACGAAGCCAAAAAATCCAGCCCTTTACGCTCTTTAACATTTTAAACAATGCTGTCTTTGCCTCCCGCTCTACCAATCGCTTTTCAAGATATTATTTTAAAGAAGTTCATGGTTGCGCCTGGATTGTAGTAATGTTAGCCTCGCTCTGATTCATAGCCCTGCACAATATTCCTATGAAAGTGAACTTTCGTCTCAATTATTCACATTAGCGTTCCTGCGTTTAACCCCCATGCTCAGCAGAACAAGACGTACCAATATCACGTAGGTTGAGTGGTTATGAGATTGTGCTGACAAGTACACGAGGCCGCGAAATCACCTGGCTACAGCAAGCGCATTCAAAAAGGGTTAATACGATTTTGTTCGCGCCCTGACACAGTGCTGCTGGACAGTATACAAAACAGTACTTCCGGACGTATATCGGATGTGCCTGCCAACGAAAAGTGGTATACGCAACGAAGACAAAAAAAAAATACGCAGAAAAAATCGTTTCCATACATTGTCATGATAAAATTGCAGTAACCATTATTTTTCAAGACACTTTAGAAATATGTGCCGGGATGAAATTCGGTAATCATTGTTGCATCAAAACACTTTAGAAGTGTGTGATCTTAAGAAAAAAAAAAACATCTGAACGAAAAAGTACAGGTCTCACCTTCTAAGTTAATATTTGATGTTCCATTGCAGGGTGCCTCTAATGCTGGTTGAGTCCAACTGGACTTCTTCGTTTGGAAGGGCGCATACACCGATTCACGAACATCTTGACAATCATGTGAACGTGAGTAAAATGCAATGAACTCTTTTTGCAAGCAACTATACTCAATGGCACGAAAGCTACGTTACCGAGCCTCGTTTACTCAGTCCTACTTCCTGCGGCGGGGTCATCAGAGCGTACCAGCGAGCAAGAAACCATAGCGCACAAAATATGAGAGTCGAAACATGGTTTGAAAGTCAATTCCAGAAGGCCGCTGCACAGGTGTCACCCTGCCTTAATTCACGTGAAACACAACGCTTGGTAAATCTGAAAATAATAGATTTATTAGCCCCGAGACCAGTCATTTCGAAAAGTTCATGACTTTTTTATTGTCGTAGTCGCATGATCACACGCAAAATGGTGGATATAAATCTTTTGGTGAGGTTATCGCGCCGGTTCATCGTCGTGAGGTTGGTTCGATTGAGGCTTGGCAAATACTGCTTCGAAAAAAAAAAATAAACTGGCTGTGTTCAACTGTCATTCAGACATTACATTTATGGCAATAAATTCGACAATAATGAAGCGCACAATGGGTCACCGCTTATAATAAGACGCCTATAGTGTATATTTCCCAGCGTCCTGTTATTATTTGGTGTTTTCTTACACTTGCCAGAACATTGATTGAGGTTCTATTTTCGCAAGGGGGCAATGCTTACTTATTTTCCGTTGCCGCGACAATATTGTATGAGTGATGTCAATAAAATGATCCATGTGCTCACCCTCCATGCAGGAGTATTCTGACAACTAATTTTTTTAAAATACCCGTATATATAGCCATTGCGAGCTGCAGTGTTTTTAACAAAATATTCTTGTCGTAAATCCTCAATGCGCACAGTCACGAAGGTTTTTCAATCGACAATGAAGTTCGAGTGAATACATATGGTTACTCGCCATCCCAATTTTGGCTTACCCACCCTACTCTATAGCAGTTCTCGATCGTATACAGGCTTTACTTATTGCCAGAGTTTTTTGTAGTATTTTTGAAAAAAAAACGCTATGGCTCAAAGAGCAATGCGACACAGAAAGACCTTGTAACGATCCTAAATACACTTATGCCCGACACGCAGGCAGCATAGATCCATAATATAAGGTTACATAGACACAGAAGACCGTCCACCCGGTATGCGAAGTTTCTCTGTAAAGAGACACTTCGTATACCTTCGTATTTTGCTACCCTCACTGTAAGGTTAGGGTAGAAGAATCTTGGAAGACTTCCAACATCAACTTACTTCGTAAGAAAGGGGATCGGACTTAAAATTTTACAGGCTGATGAGCTATCTGTCCATCGCTTAGGAGCTCCTAACAAAAATAATAGCTTATAAGACAAAATAAGATATCCAAATTTCAATTGTCAGCAGTGCTCGAACTGCGTCGCCAAAGCAAATACGCTGTTTCTGCAAAACTTCGAACACGTACCCCCCCCCCCCCCCCCCCCTCTTAGTATTCCCCGTGCGTCGGTCTCTCTACCAAAGACTATGCTTCTCCTATGGACACAAACAGAACGAAAATGAGTGTTGCTGCCAGGGATGCGACGAAGCGCGTCGACAGACGAGAGCGGCAGACAGATGATAGCCACGATAAGCGTCGGTGAAAGCGACCGTCCGTGTTTCCGTGTAGCGTCCCAGTTAAATTTCGAATACAGTCTATTTTAATTTCAAACCATTCGACATCCTCTTATTAATCATCACTCGGACGTCTGTCTAAGACAATCAAACAAGGGACTGAGCAGAGTTTCGTACAGTCTACTCAACAAAAGACCATATTCGTATTATCAATCAGCTGACAGAGAGAGAAGTCGCTTGAATGCAACAACTGCTATTTATAGACCTATTCCATGTTTGTAAACACAGGTAGGCCGACGTCGACATTATGGTTAAAATTATAGCGACGTCCGCACGTAACTTCAGCCATAAGCGCTCAGGGCTGCGATGTGTGCCAACAAACTAATCTAAGTTGTGAGACGCGACTCACATCCAACCGCGATGCAGCTCACCGGCATACCGTTCTTTTTTTTCTCGTTGCCTGACTGAGAACACCAGATGCGCCATTGAAAACGCAGCAGAAACTGCGTTAGGCAGAGCGTCTTTTGCCCACCAAGACAGCGCCATCACATTTTCGTGACGTAAGTCCGGTGGAATTATTCTGTAGCCTTCATAAATATCACGAGGTCATTTGATTCCATCGAAATATCAGCTGTCATGCATTGACTGCGGATTAACGGCGTCAACGAAGCATATAAACATACTGGATAAAATATACTATGGATTCACAGTCACCATAATCCTCCATAGAGAAATGGGCAGAATCGTAATAAATTGGAGTGTTAGGCTGGGCCTTAGACTGGGAAAGAGTTGGGGATACGAGTTAATGGAGAGCACCTTGATAACGTATACACGATTCGCTGATGACTTTGAATTGATGAGTAACTCGGGGAACTAAGTGCAGCTTATGATTACTGAACTGGAAAGAAACAGGCAAAATAGTAGTACTAGAAATACTTATGCAGAAAACTAAAGCAACGAGCAAGAGCTTCGGAAGAAAAAAAAAACACTTTGCTATAGTTAGCAAGTCACTGGAACTTGTGAAGGAATACGTCAGTATTCCTTCACAAGTTCAGAACGCAGCAACGGCAGAACGCAGCCAGTAATAGAAAGGGAAATGATAGGTGTAACCTTAAGGGACAAAAAAAAAATTGGCAGATCCCGCGTACAGTGGGGACCGATGATATGCAAAGCACGAATGAGGAAGTTTAATACGTCACTTTAAATTCAGCGCAACGTTACGAGGTGGATGCAAATTATGCCGTACATGACTTCCATGTCATGATTATCATGTTTGTACGTGTAATTTACCTTCGTCGTCTATTCTCGACACGTGACACACAACTTGGTATATGTGGAGTTAGCGAAACGAAACGGCCGCGAGCACGCTATGAGCGTAGCATGTAGTCATGTTTACACTACACGCATGCCATGATTTCCATATTTGGACGTGCCATTACCTTCGTCGTCTTTTCACGTCACGCGATATCAACTTTAGTATATGTGGAGCTAGCGAAACGGACACGAGCGTGCGTCATGAGCGCATCATAGTCATGACTTAAATGGCACGCATATCATGATTTCCACGTTAGGGTCGGTCATTTATGTTCGCCATGCAGTCATATCATACCATACCAGTTTTGCAATATGTCATGTGAACGAAAACACCGCAAGAGCAGCAAGACCATGAAATGTAAATCATGACATTCATGGCATTCATATCATGATTTTCATGTTATGACTAGTCACTTATGCTCGTCATACTGTCTTGTTATGTCATACCGATTTCGGTATTGATACAAATATCGCAACGGCAAGGAGAGCTAGAAGTCGTAGGTGGCTAGATAGATAGATAGATAGATAGATAGATAGATAGATAGATAGATAGATAGATAGATAGATAGATAGATAGATAGATAGATAGATAGATAGATAGATAGATAGATAGATAGATAGATAGATAGATAGATAGATAGATAGATAGATAGATAGATAGATAGATAGATAGATAGATAGATAGATAGATAGATAGATAGATAGATAGATAGATAGATAGATAGATAGATAGATAGATAGATAGATAGATAGATAGATAGATAGATAGATGTTAGGGCATCATAGACGAAATCAGGAAGAAATGGGCACCCCAAAGAGAAGCAACTCGACCAGCGTTAAGTCCTCTGAGTAAGCAATGGGCAGGGCAGGGCACGCAGGGCGCAGGCAAGATAACCGCTGGTCTTAAAGGGCAACTGACTGAATTGTTAGAGAAGGCAAACGCGCGAGGGGGAGACAAAAAGTTAAGTGGGTAGATGATATTAAAGAGAAACTGAAGATGTTTTAGAACTCGATAAAACTTCGTGGTTAACAAGGACCGAGATTACTGTCGGTGATGTCAAGATAGTTTTCCCGCGGTTTTAGCAGCCGGAGCTTTAAAATACGCAAAGGAAAAGTTTGTGTGGATCCGCCCCCGCGAACGCCCCGAAATCATATGCGTGGAAACCTACGACATATTCGTTTTCTCTTGCGGAGCCATTCTTCACTCCAACGTAAGGTTTGGCCCAGACCCACGGCCAGCCCCCCCCCCCTTTTTTTTTCCCCCGTAAATTTGGATGGAGGGGGTGTTTTACCAAGAATAAATAATAAAATAGGATTGTTTTCAGGGTTTACAACAGATTTGTTTGACCGAAAAGTTGTATTTGCGTTCACATGTGAAAACTTCCACATCACTTTTTGAATTCCGCAGGGTGAAACTGTCTTTACAGGTTCCAAGTTCATTAAGAAAAAGTGCAAAGAAAACGTGGCAGCAGCAGGCACAATACCGGGTTGATTGGCGGAACATGCGAAATACCTTTCCACTGCTGTGAGCGTAGTCAGGATGATGACGATGATGATGATGATGATGATGATGATGATGGTGGTGGTGGTGGTGGTGGGGGGGGGGGGCACCGCGGTGGTCTAGTGGCTAAGGTACTAGCCACTAGACCAGGGTAGTGGGGTAGACTAGGGTAGAGGCTAAAGTCTAGTGGCTAAGGTAAGTGGCTGCTGACCCGCAGATCGTGGGATCCAATCCCAGCTGCAGCGGCTGCATTTTTGGTGGAGGCGAAAATGCTATAGGCCCGTGGGCTCAGATTTAAGAGGTCATTAAAGAACCCCCAGGTGGTCGAAATTTCCGGAGCCCTCCACTACGGCGTCTCTCATAATCATATGATGGTTTTGGGACGTTAAACCCCACATATCAATTGGTGGTGGAGGTGATGAAGAAACCCACATGCACATATAGCGCAACACACACAAACGCCTTCATAAGGTATACGCTAAATTTCTCCTTCCAGTCCCAAAAGCACAAGTGACACTAATAACACCACCTAAGAGGATGGTAAATGCTCCTCATATTTTATAACGCAATGCTTTTTTCGATTCTAGTTTATGATGACCAATAATTCGAGTTCGGAGAATGGGATCCGAACAAACTCTGTCAGATACCATGCTATACCGAGACTATTGTGCTTTCATTTCTGATGTACTATCTGATTTAAATGAAACCCGATCAGCGGCAAGCCTTCCTGGTGGTATAGAACGCACCGTCCAGTTATCACTGTAAACAGGCACGCATATACGCGCAGAGATACCGGACTGGATGCGTGTGTCTGTTCATGGTGATAAGTGGACGATGCGAACTATACCATCGCGAAGACTTCAGGCTGTTCAGGTTTCATTTGACGCGATAGTACGTGCCGAGTATACTTGTAAGCACAAATCGCAACGTTTAGCTTTGGTAGCATCATGAGTGTCATTTAGTTTAATTTATGACATTTGATAAACAGATGGACTACATCGGCGAGGTGAAGCTGGGTACACCAGCTCAAACATTCCGCATCATCTTCGACACGGGATCAGCTGACTTCTGGGTTCCATCCGTTAGGTGTACGGACGGCTGCCGTGAGTATACGAAATAGCGCACAAGACTTTCTTATACAAGCATATAACTCCACTCTTACAATAATTTTATTTTTTTCATGAAATTATATTCGCGTATGGCGAAACTTTCTAGTAGTAAACCCGAATTTGATTATTCCAGAAAAAAAAGCATTCGGAGATAATCTACAGTAGTGAATATTTTCTCTTTTCAAAATATATTTTAATATGTGGAATATATCCTCTCTGGTGAAAAGGATGGCTTATTGGATGTTTGGTACATATACCACTCATAACTCGATGTGCATTTAACGAAAAAGAAATCACAGCATATCCATGGAGTGAATGATGATAAGGGGGGCGAAGTGTCCGTCCGTTCCTTCTCATTTCTGTCTTTCCATGCGTCCATCCGTCCGTCCGTCCGTTCATCTCTCCATCTGTTCGTGCGTCCGTCCCTCTACCTGTGCGTCCATCCGTGCGTCCGTCTGTGCAGCCGTCCGTGCGTCAAACAGACAGACAGACAGACAGACAGACAGACAGACAGACAGACAGACAGACAGACAGACAGACAGACAGACAGACAGACAGACAGACAGACAGACAGACAGACAGACAGACAGACAGACAGATCATTCATGGTTTTCCGATAAAACCCTCCGAAGCTTCACCCCACTGATCATCATTCACTCCGTGGATGTGCTGTGAGGTGGTTACTACATACATTCATACATGCAGTGACGACCAACCCACGCCTTAAGGAGCTTCGCCCCTACAATATACTAAATGGGAAGCAACACCTATGCGAATGTATCTATAAAGTGTAAAACATGCCAACGGTAGTGATAAAACAACGCAATAGCGCACCACTTTGAATATCGCGTTGTTAATAAAGCTATAAGAAGGTACAACATGACTTTAGGAAGTATTGGCCAAATAAAGAAATGTACTGGGGCACATTGAGGTGTCATATTTTTAGTCTGTGTAATAGTGGCACACATTTACTGAACGACAGGAATTTATTGAGCTACAGGTATTTAATTTATGTGTTATCTCGGGAACTAGTGCGCCGGTGTAGCAGCCGTGGCTTTCGTTCACGAAAGCCATTCTAACCTGTCACCAACCACATCAAGTGTTTTCCCCTATATATACTACATGATAAGCCTTCGCATTTTGTTATATTTAACAGATATTGATATTCGAAGGCTCGATTGATTGATATGTGGGGTTTAACGTCCCAAAACCACCATATGATTATGAGAGGCGCCGTAGTGGAGGGCTCCAGAAATTTCGACCACCTGGGGTTATTTAACGTGCACCCAAATCTGAGCACACGGGCCTACAACATTTCCGCCTCCATCGAAAATGCAGCCGCCACTGCCGGGATTCGATCCCGCGACCTGCGGGTCAGCAGCCGAGTACCTTAGCCACTAGACCACTACGGCGGGGCTATTCGAAGGTTTTTAAAGCAGTGAAATTATGAACCATTCATGAACCAACATCCGATATCTCGCACCTATATTTCTTCCTCTGTTGTCTTACCTTTCAGCCACATACCTCGTTAAGATCAACTTACATATACACTCGTGTATTTGCGAGTAAATGTAAAAATTAGAGGAAACAACATGTGCCCCACGTGTCTTCTCTCGCCTTATTAATGCTTTAATTTCTGCACGTCATTGTTTTTTTTCGCTAAGAACTTGATGATTACACAAAAATATTTCTGCGGCAACCGCAGAGGATCGCAGGAAGTACGACCCTTCGCATTCAAGTTCGCACATTCCGGACGGCAAGCAGGTGTCCATTAAGTACGGCAGCGGCGAGGTACGTGGTGTGGTCGGCTCCGACACCCTGCAATTGGGCGAAGGGGTGGTGCCCGCACAGCCATTCGCCGAAATTACGCATGCGTCGCCAGGTATCTTCCACCCCGAACCATTTGACGGAACGATCGCCCGGGACGTTCCCTTCGATGGCCTCATCGGGCTCGCCTACCCTAAGGTGTCCTCGCTAAAAGTGAAGCCGGTGTTCGACGCCATCATGGAGAAGAAGCTGGTGCCCCAGTCCGTTTTCTCCTTCTACCTGGGAAGCACCACGAGTGCCAGACCCGCCGGTGAATTAGTACTCGGAGGCATCAACCATGAACGCTTCAAGGGCAGCTTGCATTACGTAGCTGTGAGCAAGAAGCGCCACTGGGAATTTCAGATGGACCAGTAAGTGGTAATATCTACGTATATTTCCCCTATAGTTGCACGTTCCATTTTCATCATCCCATTCCTCCCCCATTACTTCCTTACCAACCATGAAAACAATAGGTAAGAAAGGCGTAGCAGTATCTGATAACTTCACGCGCAAGCCCCGCCGCGGTGGTCTAGTGGCTAAGGTACTCGGCTGCTGACCCGCAGGGCGCGGGTTCGAATCCCGGCTGCGGCGGCTGCATTTCCGATGGAGGCGGAAATGTTGTAGGCCCGTGTGCTCAGATTTGGGTGCACGTTAAAGAACCCCAGGTGGTCTAAATTTCCGGAGCCCTCCACTACGGCGTCTCTCATAATCATAGAGTGGTTTTGGGACGTTAAACCCCACATATCAATCAACTTCACGCGCAAAGTAAAATCTAAATACTCTAGATAGTGCATAAAATGCCATCGCGCTACCCGTCTTTGATTTCACTAGCTGAGAGTGAAACGCCAACAGTTTTCAGCTTTACTTAGTATGCCTCCACACCATTGTTACAACAAGCGCACCGCGAAACAGCTATGTCACACCAGGGAGCAGCTTCACGCCGATTCTCATGGTGGTTGTTGAATGCGTGATATGAACTGAGATGAAAATTAACAAGCGGATAAGAAAGGAACATTGGCATGCTTGAATAATTCTACCGAATGAAATTGTTTGCCAATATCACCGCCCCTACGTTTCCAAAAGAAAAAGATGCCTGCCAACTGATGTTAGTTATAAGTCTGCCATTCTGTTTTAATTCATTAGGTGACCGACGATAACAATTGTAATGACACTTGCTCTCACCCCGGCTGCATAACTTCGTACATCGGTAGACTAGTAAAGCATTATTTTGATAAACCTGAGAATAGCACGTTGAAAAGATGATTAGATGGAAGAGCACAAATGTGACATGAAGAGACAAGTAAAAGCTCGAAAACAAACATGCAAAATGTTTAGTGAAAACAAACAGCCAATAATGCCAAAGTAAGTGTAGACGATATGTCATTAGAAGTAATTGTAATGAAAATGAAGAAAAGATAACTAGCCATTGGCTGGAACCGAACCTGCGACATTCGAATAACGCGTCCCGGACGTTCTACCAATTGAGCTACCAGCGTGGCAATCCTTCCACCCACTTTATGGGGTATATATATAGGCCGAGTCACAAAAGATGTCAAGCTGCTTGCCTACAAAACGTATGTGCGTCCGAGATTAGAATACGCTAGCGCTGTGTGGAGCCCACACCAAAAGGTCTTAAAAAATAAGTTAGAACGCATTCAGAGAATGTCAGCTTGCTTTATCTGCTCCAAATATCGAAGAAAGGATTCTGTTACTGAAATGTTTAAAGTATGTAAATTAGAACCGCTAGAATTAAGAAGGCGGAAACAAAGGTTGAAACTTCTTTTTCATATCCTGCATGCCGGGGTGAAAATAAACAGGGATGATTATGTGAAGCATTCTTATAAAAGGTTTCCAAGAACAAAATGCACTACATTCATACAACCAATACATGCTCGAACAGATATCTTCCGATTTTCCTTCTTTCTCGATGCTATTAATATGTGGAATGAATTACCAAACAATATGGTGCAAATAAGAACTTTGAGTGATTTTGAGGTTGCTCGTGATAGGCATTTTGTTGAGAATGTATAGTTTACAGTGTTCATGTATTTGTTTCCTTAGAAATGTTTCATTGGTCATAGAGATCAAGTTGCAAACATATTGACTGAAAAAGCATGTCACTGTGTTTCTCATATAATTATGCTATATGTTAGAGTTCATCCTACGATTTTTCATATATTTGATTTTGTGCAACTCAATTCTTCACCCTCCCTGTAACTACCCTCAAGTGAGGGTTAACAGTATGACAAATAAATAAATAAATAAATAAATAAATAAATAAATAAATATACGTGGATTAAACGTGGCAGCGTCAGTCAACGCCTCCAATAGTCATGACGCTGAGTGGCGAACCCACTTTTTACGTCGGTTGGGTTCACGTAGCGCGTGATCTTACTGTGAGCTGGCAGGTGACCAATAATACCTCGTATTCTACCTTGATTAAAGCATCAAGTTTGCCATAACAGGACCATCGCTATGAATGAAGGGAAGAAGTTTACATTTAAGGGCCCATTTCCTTCATTAGACCCCCAGTGCGAAGCTTGCCTGCTTTATTATATTTTTAACATAATATCACGTCATGAATGTGCCATACATAGTCTGCTGCAAAACACGTCACATTTTCATCATGCATGAGTGCATGAGTAAAATAAAGAGAAAGTCAATCACAATCTATTACAAAACATGTACTTATATTTTTCTTATGACTGAAAAACTTCTGTTTCAGTTATTCTTCGGTATCACTATTACTGTACGTATTACACAGGTATGAGATTCACCACTGGAATCGTAGCAAAAATCATACCTCCTTAATAAAAATATTTTACCCTTGGTTTTCTTTCATTTTCCTGAAATAATCATAAATTACAATTTATTGAACACGTATAGCTGTGTTATTAAGGGGTTTCACTCTACCTAAACATTACAGTCATATCCTTTCAAATTAAGTGTAAGGAACGCAGTGCGGTGAACTGTGACCTGGGTCAGTTGGTACATCTTGAGGATTTGAACCGTATGAAAGACGAAGCCCAAAGGAAATCAGTTGCACATATATTGAACTAACAGTTGCACTTCATTGAAGAACAATCATCTCGGAGAAATTGTACAGCTCAGAGCATAACAAACACCAAACAATAGATGAAGATAGATGAAGCAGATACCGTCAGTAGGAAGGGAAGCCTAATTAAAAAAGATGTGCCGATACAATTATCGCCTTGCATGCCGATGATATAGGCTTCGAATATTAACCTCTATGCTTGGTCTTTTGGCTGGATCGAATTATCAAGAAGTGTGGAAAACGTTACATAGTCCCAAAAAACTAGACTTTTACCTTTCTTCCTTTGTTTGTTTGTTTGTTTCTTTCTTTCTTTCTTTCCGTCTTTCTTTGTATTTCTTTCTTTCTTTCTTTCCGTCTTTCTTTGTATTTCTTTCTTTCCTTTATTTCTTTCTTTATCTTTTTCTTTCTTGAGAGCATGACTTGTCCTCAGCCGTCAAACTGAACTTAGCATAAAATGTTCGCAGAAAATAGAATTACGTACACAAACCGCACATTGTTCCTAATCATGTTCCCGAGTGCTTCTGTAGAAATCTAGACAGTAGACTATTCTCTGGTGCTAAAGTGTCCGCATGCGGACGCTTTATATACGCCCCCCCGCCCCCCATCGATGCATGGGCAGCAGAACAAGACAAAAGGGAAGCAGCTAGCATGGACCAACATTCTCTCATTTCTAAGAAGTTTCACCGCAAAAGGCAAGGAGTGCTGTTTTGTAATGCCCAAGGGCTGATATCTCTGCTCTTACGCCCCCAACTAATATTATATTTTCTATGCTTAGGTTTGCAATATCAGCAACAAAGGGAAAAAATGTGCTTTAAGGGTCCCTCCTCCCTATTCCTCTAAAAAGCAGGCACGCGCGAGGGTTCACAAAATACCTTCAAGAAGCCTTTTTTTCTGTCCCTCATTACTCTTTTGTCTGTGCTTTGTACGCATGCGAACAAGTAACACGGTTATGTGTTGACTGAATCATATTTTTCTATGCACTAAGCGTTCAAGCTGGAAAAGAGAAACGCTTCTGTGTCGGCGGCTGCTGGACAGTGGTTGATTCGGGGTCTTCGTTCATCGAAGGACCCGGCGAGGAAATCGACAGGATCAACCGGATTATAGGTTCCCAGAAGACAGAGCATGGGAAGGTGCGTACGATGCTCTCCGTGCGCATATACATAACCATTCCTGCTTGTGTCACACACCCTCACATGAGGTCATTCTCGACACTCTTTGCTATAAGCAATATTGTTCTCTTGAACTGTTCGTCCCGTCTACAACCTTCACATGTTTCAATGAAGGCCCCCCCCCCCCCCCCAAAAAAAAAAACAGATTTAGCGCTGAGGTTTGGACTGATGGGACATCCTTTCTACGTTAACATGTACGGTGACACTTTTCTAAAACTTTACTTAGGACATCGCCTGTAAAAATGATTCGGTGAACATGTGGAAGCTCGTACACATGTCACAATCCCGCATTGTACAAGAAACCATAGGCGTACCAGCCCGGGGGGTCAAGGAGAACTCGAGCCCCCCCCCCCCCCCCCCCCCCCCGCGAAAAGTTGGGGGAGGCTGAGTCCCCCCATTTTCAACAGTGGTATTTCTTGGCTGCACGCTGGGGAAACCAACAAGTAAGACGAAGTTTTTAGTCCCAACACTAATCACTGAATCGTGTTCTTATGGGAGAATGAAAATGTTATGAGGATAATGACAATGTTACGAAATTATTCTATTCTATTCAGGTTACCCCTAAAGGCCCTCTAGAAGAGGGTATTACATAGGGGGGGGGGGGGGGCAATACAACATGGTTTGCCAGTACAACATACAGAAATACATGGGGAATACAATACATGGGGCCAATACAACAAAACAGAAAAAAAAGCAGTACAGCAAGATACAGTGCAACCTGACAACCGCAACAAAGCATAAACCATGAATACGGGCAGCAATTGCATGGCGTTATACAATAGTTAAAAACGAAAGAAAACAAAACAACAAAAGCAAAAAATATTTAGTTAGTCACCGTAGTGCGCATGAGCTCTGAAACTTTACCGAGTCTTTCTCGGTGGCAATATGTGCAGGCAAACTGTTCCACTCAATAATAGTGCGCGGGATGAATGACTGAGCGAACCGAAGTGTGCGAGATAGCGGGCGTTTGACTTTGTTAGGATGATCACGGCGGGGAAAGATGGAACAGGCGAGTTCAAAGAAACTGTCATGTAATGATGGGTGATTGTAAAGTTTGTGAAAAAGTGATAGGCGTGCATATTTCCGACGAGTGGCCAAATCCTCTAGCTCAGCACGGTTTTTTAAGTTATTTACGCTGGAATAGGTAGAATAATCGGAGTAAATGAAACGAGCAGCTCGGTTTTGCAAAGATTCAATATTTGATACGATGTAGGCTTGATGAGGATCCCAAATGGCACTGGCATATTCTATTTTAGGGCGAATTAAACTGGTAAAAGCAAGTTTTTTTAACTGCGATGGAGCCTGTTTAAGATTTCGTTTCAGTAACCCGAGAGACCGGTTAGCAGCTGCAAGAGTGACTTCTATATGATGGTGCCAAGATAGATTCGATTGAAAGTGGAGACCAAGGTACTTGTAGGTAGATGTTAACTCAAGTGTCATATTATTCAACGAGTATTGACTTGGAAAACGTGTAGCAGCGTTAGTAAAGGACATGCACTTTGTTTTAGAAACATTTAACGACATAAGCCAAGTTGAACACCAATGATTAATTTTGTTAAGGTCAGATTGCAAAGCTAAGCGGTCCGAATCAGAAGAAATGTTACGGTATATTACGCAGTCGTCCGCGAAAAGTCGAACGTGTGAAGATAAAGAATTCGGTAGATCGTTAATGTAAACGAGGAAGAGTAGAGGACCAAGAACACTGCCTTGAGGTACACCAGATGTTACCGGTAAAGAGGAAGAATAAAAATTCATAGCAAAGGTGAATTGAGACCTGGAGGAAAGAAAAGCTTTATCCATGCAAGAACTATAGGGTGAATGTTAAGTTGTTCTAGCTTTAGTAGTAATCTGTGGTGAGGAACGCGGTCAAAAGCTTTAGCGAAATCTAAGAAAATGGCGTCGACCTGGCAACCAGCATCCATGGATTTATGAAGGTCGTGAACAAAACCGGCAAGTTGGGTGTCGCATGAAAATCCCTTGCGAAAACCGTGCTGAAAATTGAAAATGATATTGTGACGTTCGAGATAGTTTATTACTTGAGTGTGTATGATATGCTCCATGAGTTTGCAAATGGTACTAGTTAAGGAAATGGGCCTGTAATTTAGCGGTGAGGAACGTTCACCTGATTTGAAGAGGGGGACGACTTTAGCTGATAGCCAATCTTGGGGTAGAGTTCCGGTAGACAAAGACTGTGAAAACAGAGCGCATAAGAAGGGGGTGATACTGAATGATATAGATTTCAGGATTTTATTATTTAAGCCTATATTATCCAAGGTGGAAGAAATTTTTAGTTTCTGTAAAAGGGACAGAACACCGGCCTCACTGATAACAATCTCCGGCATGACTGTGCTGCTGAAACTATGCAATATGGGAGCGGTTGAAACGTCTTCTCTGGTAAAAACTGAGGAAAACGCCTGGTTTAAGACATCTGCGCATTGAGATGTGGGAACTGAAACGCCATCGTTATTGCTTAGGACTATATCAGGATAACATTTGGGGTTAACAACGCGCCAGAATCTGCGTGGATTATTTGCAAGTATAGATGATAAATCATGGTTAAAGAAATGGCGGCGAGTAGATTTCAAAAGCGACTGATATTCTTTATCGCATTTTTTGTATTTCGTCCAAGAGTTAAAGGTATCCTTTTGGACGGCCTGTTTATATAAACGTTTTTTTTTTTTTGTTGTTCAACCGTCGGAGCTGCTGAGTAAACCAAGGAACCGTGCTTCGGGTTTTCACGGTGATGACAGGTATGAATTTATTGATGAGACCAGTAAGTTTATTTTTTAACAGCAACCAGTTTTCTTGAATGGTGCGCTGGAGGTGACCATGTATAAATTCTTCGTAAAAGGCAGACAATTCATTATTTATACTATCAAAGTTACCTCTGTTATAGCACCTAATCGATTTGTTAGTTGCTATTCTTTCGACCAGTGGGCGAATCAAGTTTCCGGTAATAATCGCATGGTCGGAAAGACCATCAAAAATATTAATGTTCGAGCAAACATCGGGTTCATTTGTTAAAATTAGGTCAAGGGTATTTGAACTTGTCGCTGAGCAGCGTGTAGGAAAATTGATGAGTTGAGTTAAAGAAAAGTCCAGGCAACTTTGCAAAAATTTGTGCGCTTCAACATCACTTGGTGGAACAGTAAGGGCACTTGAGTTAATGGCAGGAAAATTGAAATCACCGAAAATGATAAGTACAGCGTTCGGAAAACGGGTGTGAATATCGCCCAGAACACGAGAAAATTCATCCGAAAACGTGCAGCCCATATCGGGCGGACGGTAAAAAACAGCAATTATAACATGGCTACCAGCACACTTCAAGGAAACAAAGGCACATTCCAGAAAAGAACATACTGAGATAGGGGTAACAACAAGATCATTCTTGACGGCAAGGAGGACACCACCGCCCCTTCGGTGCTTTCAATCGTAACGAAAAAAGTTGAATTCAGATGCACAAACAAAGATATTGTTATCACTAACAGTGTCATTAAGCCATGTTTCGGTTAATATTACTACTGATGCTGACAACGAGTCTATCAGTGAAGAAAGAGGGACAGTTTTAGAAAGAACACTACGGATATTTGTAAACAAGAATGGAAAATGTTTGACTATCGGGCGGGGTACGAGAGGCGAAGAACACTCAATTCTCGTAGGAGAGCCACGTCATTTGCACGTGTCGTTTACGGGGGTTTTCGCCGCGTGTACGTTTTCACGAGGATTTAATCGGACAGCGCATTCATTTACAGTGTCCCACACGTAGATGTCGTCATTCACGAACAGCTTAGTGAATACCAGGCGGCAACGGTCACCCTCCTTGGCTACAGATCTCTTGAACTGGGCAAGCTTTCGACGCTTGTCGCGAACGGGCACCGAGTAATCGCGCGAGATGCTGAAGGGCGTGTTTTTTAGTTTAGGTCCTTTGTTCAAAATTGCTTCGATTTCCCTATCGTTGAAAAACTTGGCTATAATGGGTCTCTTTTTGTCCCGTACAAAACGACCTAATCTATGAGCTCGGGCAACGGAATCTACTGTTATGCCTAACTTTGACGCGCAAAAGTCCCAAAATTATGAACGAAATGCTACAATATAGGGAAATTTCGCCAGTATTACCGCTGTGATGACTTTCCTTGTAGGCTCTTTGCGGTGTGGGTCGCCTATGCGACACTTTCGCCTCTTGTGCTGCATTGTATTGCACATGAGGCAAGCTCTGAGCAGGGGCCCTACAGTATTACATTGCCTTTTCATGCTTTCATTCTGCTGTGACCTGGTAATGCAGTTACGGATGGGAGCGAGTAAACTTTTTAAAGACTGGTCAAATAATTTGCTGCTTCTGAAAAACAATATTCTTCGGAAAGGGTAAATCATCACTGCTGCACTGGAGAAGCTGTTGCGAGCCGATGAGTGTGACGAATCTTTTTTGATATTTAATTTTTCCGTACTTAAATGCCAAAAATGTTTCCACTTTAATCTTTGATAAACCAGATCAGCCTTACTTATGGTTACTTGGAGCCACAGCTTGTAAAGTGGCCACGAATAAAGCAGTGGACTCGAGCTCAGTAGGAAGCTCTGCTTCTAAGCTTGCCCCACAACTTCACCCCACCGGACCAGGGAGAAGGTGAAAGACAGTGGTTTTTAGCACTATGAAGGCTTAGTTAAGAGTCGGGCTATAGTTGGTGTTCACTCAAATTGAACTATATCTAACAGCTCAAAATAAATCTCGGACAGTAAAGAAGCACACACTTACAGCGCGGCCTATTTCTCTCTATTTCTTTTTCTCTCAGCAAGTATGAGCTCACAGAAATGTATACGCGCACAAAAAACTAAACACCATTACGGAGCTAGTGGAAATATTTTATTATACTTATAATTCATTTCACCAGCTGCTATACGTAGCCGCTGCTTATGTGATTGGCAGCTAGCCTACTTGAATTGCACTTAGAAGGAGATGCTCTCCG